TTTCCTGTGTGCTCGCCAGCAAGATGGTAGCAAAGCTCAAACCGTTGCCGGTCCTACTCAATTGAAGCTGGAGAGGCTCTTCCACTCAGCCAGGATGTTGGAGGCCTCCTTGTAGTCCTCGGCCGCTCGCTTCCACTGCTTGCTGTTGCCATCAACGCCCATTGTACCAACCTTCTGCACAAACTGGCGGGCTTTCTCCCAAGCTGGGCTACCCTCTGCGCCAGAGAAGTACAGGAGGTCCTGCCTCAAGGAATTGGATTCCTGGAGGTTGGACTTGAGTGCCTGGGCCTGCTTGGTCTGGATGTACCCCGGAGTGTCCTCGAAACGCTTCAGCCCTGCCTTCAATGACTTGGTCCTCCTCTCCATCTCAGGCTGGTTCTTGGCCTGGTAGACTGTGTCGCTGCCATCGCTGAACTGGGAGTACGGATTGATCGGGTTGTCGTTCTGGCTGTAGGCATCCTTGCAGCTGAATGGGTCATGCAACATGCCAGTAGCCTTAATTACCTACCTCAGTTCCTTGCAGGTTGCCTGTTACTGTTACGCGATTTCAATGAGCCAAGTTTGGCTAGGGGAACTGCAAACAATACATCTGAAACTTCCTGAAACTATTTTTCCAAGAGTCTGACTGGCCGCTGCCAAACCCGAAGACGGAGAAAGTGGGGACCTGCACATGCAGAGTCAGAGGTGTCGGCTACTTTTGATGCTTCATCAAAACCGGAGAAAATCAAAAAATAACTTCTCAAATTGAACATATTGAACCCGCTCAATTGTCATGTCTGAGGGGCCCTGCCTCAGCCATGGCTGGCGCAGATGCTGCTACCATGGCAGCTGCCATTGCCGCTGCTGCTTCGTTTCGTTGCTTAGGTGTCACAAAGGTCTCACCGGACAAAAGGCGCAGGGCCATGAGAGCACCGGCAGCCACAAGAGCCTTGGAGAGCGCAGAAGCACGAGCCATGGCAAAATCAGCGGTGCAAAAAGGCGTTCGGCGGCAGCTCAGGAATCAAAAAAATGGCTGCATAAGTGCAATCTGGGAGCATCATGAGGGCAAAATGCTTTTTTCTGCAAAATCAGTTCCATTTCAGCAAGATCTTTCTATTGCTATTAGCTTGAATACCGACCCGGCCCCCTCTCCCTGTCCCCGCATTATCATGCGCGGCTGAGGTCTCCAACGAAGCGTGTTGATGCTGTAGAAGTAGTAGCCCTTCCTCGTCAAGCAGTTGACCAAGTCCTGGACCTTCTCAAACGCTGAAACCCTAACAAGTCATTTTGGAGGAGATATCCGTAGATGTGGACCAGCAACACCACCAACTCTGACCTTGATCGATCAAGGTCGCCAACCAAGGCTATGTCAAGACTCTTTTGCAGCTACTCCAGCTGTTCCAAGAACATGGAAGCATACAGCAGGCGCAAGCCATCACACATTAATGCTACACCCCTTCCCCTCCATAGACCTAGAAAGCCTGGTTCCTTATCTAGTGGTAACTGATCCACTGGGCATGCTTTTGTTCCGCGAATCGCCCCGCTCGTCTGGGTCTCCCAGGCTCATCCGGCGCGTTGGTGCCCCAAATCTGAGCGGTTTCTCCGACCAAAAACAAGAACATGGATGCAAATTGGGCCAAGGGTTTGAAATGTTCTGCAATCTAGTCAGGATTAGGATGAGACGTCTAGGACTACAGGGTTATCGCATCAGTTGTGTATTAGGGTTGGGCAAGAACTGCGACTGTGAACAGTGAGGAAACCCCGAGCTTCCTGCTGTTTCTAGTCGATCGGCGGGTCTTTTGTTGTGATTTCTCCGGTGAGGCAAGATTTGTCCATCAACTGAAGCAGCATATTTTTTGCTTGTTCCTGGAGTTCTCTTCTGGCAACAAACAACATTCATGAACCATGACTTATTCGATTCTGAAGTCGGGAATTTGGCAATGCATATATAAGAATAAATATATATATATATGAGATATGTGTGCTATATTTATATATAAGTTTGAACAATTTAATTAATATATATATATATATGTGAACAACCCAATAATACCCAATAATCATCAACAATCCACACATTCCAGGAACTCTATGCCTGTTATAGCAGTTGGTTCCCTTTCGTGAGTGTTGTTGTCTGGGTTGATCTGAGTGTCAGGGGAGCCACCTGTCAAGTCAAGCTCAGTGGGCAAATCCAGGCAAAGTCGCTAGCCGCTAGCCTACTAGCCTACAATTCTGGCAGTGGTGGCATCCAATGTGGAAAACTTGCAAGCCTTCCATGTAAGTTTTTTGCGGAAGTGGCGGAGTACTCCTCCTCTTCTCCAGGGAGAGCATCGAATCAGTCTAAACTAACCCTGATTTTTAACAAAACAAGCAAGAGCAAGTGACCGGGACCCTCTGAAGCTTGCTACTGAGCGTTTCCAGTGCGTTCTGCAAGGTGACGGTGGCTCCTTTCATTTCTTTTATTTGTTTTGAGAGTTGGACCCTAACAGGCAGCAGGTCGTTCACTGTGGTGCAGGTATCATGCTGTAAGGGTTTACATTCTCTTCTCAAAGCGCTGGTGTCATGCACAACTGGGTAGCTGCAGAGTGACCTTGTACATCAAGTTTAATCAGGCTGATAGATATCATTTGATATCATATGATATCATGATATCATGGTCTCATCTTGCATGGTTCAATGCTGTAGCACAGTCGAAACCTTTTAAGTGACCCTAAAACAAATCCAAAAGCAAAACATTTCGCAACTGCCCTGGACAAGTCGTGCAGGTCTCCAGTCTTCTGTGCTAAGGTCCTGGCCGGTGTCTGCATCAAGCTGCCGTCGTGGACATCCTGACGACGGGGCTCCGGGAACGGACGCCCCCGTGGGGCGCAGCGGCCCAGTGGGGCGGAAAAGGGCGCCCTATAGGTACGAGCCGGGCAGGCTCGTCAGTTTTCGACGTCGTCTGACTGTGAAAACATGTGCACCAACTGTGAGACTTGTATGCTTTAAAAGTTTCAAAAGTTTGACATGCCTAGGCAGAAACCTATGCGAGAGGATGCTGAACGAAAACACTAATTGGGAACAATGTTTGAGAGAGTTTGTGAGTTGTGCTTGTTTTGGATTGGGGTTCAGCAGCTTTGAAATCTGTTCGACGCGTGTGGTCCTTGTCTGAGATCTGTTCATATTCTTTATCTGGAGAACACAAAGCCATACAAAGCGGCTAAACACCCCAATTTTGCTTCCTGCAATCGTCAACATTGGTTTAAACAGTTCACCCCAAAGAGCTTGCTGCCTTCCGTGGATGACTATCTCGCTCCACCGCAACACACCCAACAGCCCCATTTCCGCATGGCCACGGCTGATGGTGCCCTCAGCTCTCTCCCAGTGTCCTTCACTTCAAAACCAAACCTCGGAACACGTCCACACATGGACGGCCGTTCGTTCCTGATCACACACAATCCGTTCGCCGTTCGCACGTTCCAAAACCAAGAAGGTCAAAGGGTTGTGGCTATGTTTGTTACAGGTATACACGCCAATCAACCGCCACATGTGTATGCTATATATATATATTGTTCAATATTTGTTTCCCACACACCAAATCAAAAAGACTCAATAACAAAGCTGAAAACCCTTGGGAATCGCTTTTCCTAAGGCTTCTGGGATCAGCATGAGATCTGAACAGTATTTGGGAATATCAAGCATCTCATCCTAAATGGGAAGCAAGGATCTCGGCTATAGCTGATCTGCTCAATGGCAAACAAAGAAGAATCGCTTGATCTATACATGCTCAGCGACTGCACTCTACTGCTCGTTTGAAACCAATTCCCTAGCAATTCTGCCAACATCATCCTTCGCTCCGTTGGTTCTCCGAGAGGCTTGGTCACTGGGCAGCCACCATCATAGCATGGGAAAACGCTGATAAAGGTGCTCCAACCTACCAAACCGCGAGCGCCAAGGACCGACCAATGTGGAGCACTTGGCTGAACGGTGGCTCGTGTTGAGAAGTCACCCGGAAAATGACAACTGACTTGCGTTAGTTAAACATGTACTGGAACCGATATACATTGATATAGTTTGAACTGATGTGGTTCAGGGTGTTCAAGCCATGTGATCGGCAGAAAGTGACGGTAGATATTGAAAGGAAACCAGTCTTTCTCCGAACTCCAACATCTTCCCACAACCCTCAGCATGAGACAATCTGGACATGTTTCGCCACCATTGAATCCAGGCCAAATGAGCCGGGTTCAAAAGCTGAGCTTCCATGGCATCTGTGATCTGTAAGCTAGGATGAGTGACAAACCGCATTGTGTGGACATGGGTGCCGGACGAGCGATGAGTGATGTGGATGGACAACAACTCCAACACCAAACGCTCCATGTAGGGCATGTTACATTTGGCTGGTTTCTGTGGTGCATGTAATCACGATTTGAGAGCATTTTGGAATAACAGTAACTACATATATGACATATATCAATAACATTATTACATTATGATACTATCAACCTGAGAAGCTGCAAAACGAAAGCCAGCGCTTCCCTTTCTCGAGAACTGCGCGTCGAAGCATAGGATAGAAAGGTAGGTCTGCACCCTAGATCCACCATCCCACTCCATTTTCTTTCATTTCTCTACGGCAGCTCCGCTTGGCATTTGCCAGGTGGAGGCGGCCGTGAGACCTCTTACACACCTACACAAGTTCAAAGCACGAATGAGACTTCAAAGCTGTGGATTGCTGTGCGTGTGTAGAGGCTATCGAGCGGTTGACGGAAAGGGAACTTCAAGTACTATACCTGGTAGCTGCAAGCAAGGTGCCAACTACACCTTTCTTTTCAAGGTGGCCTGAACAGAGTGTTTCAGGGCAGTAAACCGTGGTCTCAGGCCACCTTGAATTTAG